TGTTGATGAAATTTTATATGATAATAGCTGGTTATCTGGGTCAACATATAGGATATCTTTTACTGTGGAAAAATATCTCATCTTTAAGAAATCTATACTAACTGTTAAAATGTATCTAGGGACAAAGCCGAGCGAAGTGAGGCTCAGTCGCTTGTTATACCTATTATATGATTACATAAAGATTATGGAAAATTTGATGAAAACATAGTAAATAAGAAAGCAGATCTTGGTCACTAAGAAAATATTTTGTGCATTATAAAATATATTTATAATACAATCATAATTATTATAGATGTATTATGTTACATTATAAATATATGTATATTTTTATTGTACTATATAGTAATATTAAAATAATAGATTTCAACCAGAAAATGAGGCGTAATGAGTAAAAAATCTACTTTGAAGTTATTCTTTCATATTTTGGAACACATAAATAATATATTATACTCTAGTTTTAAATAAAATATGTCAGCTATATTAGTTATTCTGGATGATTTTATTACGTGCCGGTCTAGCAGACGCGCCCGCGCTCCAACTGACCAAAAATACCTATCAAACGTTAGTGTCAGTTGAGAATTCCATACGAAAAATATATGGGAAGACAAAAATTAATCACCTATTCAAAAATTTTATTTTGTTAATGTATTTAACTATTCTTAAAATATTAAGTTATTTAAATAAAGGGCTGAGTGGTTAAATATTTTTTGCCAGAATTTCTATTTTGAAATGTTGAAATTGAAGTGGGAGCCAAGTTATCAAATAACAATGTGCTTATGCTGTTGTAATAGTTTCATAAAAATATAGTTACCAAAATAGTAAAAATATAGTTTTTTTATCCGTTTATACTCGTATAGCTAAGAGCCTCATTCAAAGCAGTGAGACATGTTCTTAATTCAGAGACTCGTATTTACTTAGAGACTTTAGACTTATAAGATAAGAGATATTTTGTTGTTATCAGCTACGACCCTTCGATTTTCTATTAACAATTTGTATAAAACACATAATTAACAGAAGGCAATGAAACGAGACCATGTGCGGATGCACGCATTAAATACAAGGACGTCGCTCTGCTATTGTTCGGCTGCAGCCATCGATATCGAGCCATTGGTTATAGGTTTTTATAAAATGCTGGCTATTTCACCTAACGTATGCCATAAAAGTATCCTGATGGAAAGTATCTTATATTGCACGATAATGTGTTAAGAGACTTTCCTTTAGATTCTTTAGAATCCTTTAGATTCTTTTTAAGAGGATAAAGTATCATAAAGGAAAAACTATATTATTCTAGTTAACTGCTTTATTTATGTTAGAAATGATATGGAATTATCAGTAATTTCAAAATGGCCACTACCTATATACCCAAAATAAAGTCCACAAGTGAACAACCAGTGAACAACCAGATAACAAACAAAGTCCACAAGTAAACAACCAGTGAACAAAAGTGAACAACCAGACCTTCTGATAATCGCTAATGTTAACTAATTTCTAACGAGATGAAAAAAAGGGATAGCGCCTGAAAGAATGCAAAGAACGGCTTAGTTAATTTAACGGGATTTTTATTTACTTGTAGAGTATTGGAGCAAGAATGATACAGACTAGATTCCCCATTTTTACTTCGAGACGCAACTAACTTAAAAACTACACCTGTCATGAGAATTTCCACGCACAACTATGAATTAATTACCGAATTGTCATAGAAGGTAGTAAGAATGTAGTAGAGTTATAAAATATAATGTACATGAATATTTCTAATAGGACAGTAGAGTCGGCAGAGCGCGTCGAGTATAATGCTGAGCCGGCAACCCGTAACGCCGCCATTATGAAATAAAAGCTTTTATTAAGACGCCGTGTGACTTCTCATATGAAGGTCGGACACACCTATAGAAAACATAATGAAAATTAAAACTAAGTTGTTTATTTTTATATTAGAATCAGATAATATTGCATGAAATTCTCGTAATGTGTAGAGAAAACACGTTTTATCAGATTTTGTATGGGAAATGTTATAATAACTGATTAAATGGTATATAATGATCCTTTTTCTCACAGTTATTATTTACTTTAGCTTTTGTTACAAAGAAAATACGACAGAGTAAGTTAGGAATAATTGAATCCAAAGACAATTTCTTTCAAAATATCATGTTAATGTAGTTTATTTGTTTTCTAAACTTAAAATCAATATAGGAAATACGAATAATAGAAAGCACTATATGCTTTGAATACGAATACCTATTAAAAGAAAGCACTATATGCTTTGTTTACATATATATACCAAATATTTTGTTCTCGGGACGTTTAAACTTCGCATATTGTTAGTAAAAGATTGCGAAAAAGATTCGAATATTCCAATTACGACAGTAAATCCTGTACTATAAACAAGCTATTGAGATGATCAAAATTCAAAGTAAAGTTTTTTCTATTATCAAGTCAGTCTGATGACTAATCTGTGAATTAGTAATAGCGGAGTTTGTTGACTCGTATTAAATGCCACTTGACGGGCCGTTTGTGACAGACAACAATGCCAAAAATTTTATCATAAACACATCTAATAATGTTTATGGAATTGTAATAACAAATATTTGAAATCGAAAGCTATGATCGATTATATTTTCATGAACAACTAAAATAGTTCCTCAGTTTATTTGGATTTGGATGCCTTGACGTCCAACTTATCAAGGAATTGTGAGAACAACATTAAATTTAAAATACTTTATAATGTTACACGTTCAGGGTATATTTAATTCGTATCAGTTTATTCAGAAGACGTGAAATTAGGTTGAGATTTTTTTTTCTAAAATTCCGTAGTAACAGAGAAATTCAAAACATTTTGTTCATAAATGGGGTTAGTGTAATGAGTTTATGAGAAAAGATAGTGGCTAGACTACAGCAGTTGTAGGTCATACCGAGGCAGATTTACAAGCCAATAATCAAAGTAAAAACATTAACAAAGGAAAAACGACGGATAACAACCAGATAGATAAACATTTTGAACAACCGAACGCTGAACGTAAACATTTGAAGCGCCACTCCAAAAGATGGTTGCTTTAGTAATTAAACTTAAAAGAACAGCGGGTTAGAATAATAAATGGAGTTGAGGAATATTCAATATACACTGTACATGTAATCAAATTAGTAAGTGGCGTGACATTGGTAAACTAAAAGTTATTTTCGTTTTATAAAATTGAAAATATCGAGTATTTTCGATTGATGATTAAAGATTTTGGTATGTACATGTATTTTTAGTTGATAATTTTTGTTATTATTGGCTTCTATTAGCTAAGTCTTTGTTTATGACTTTCAGGCGTGCCATTTGAGCATAGTTTACTTTCTCATGTCATATCATGTTAGTAAAAATTCTATTTGTACAGAATGAGTAAATTTTGTAGTCGTTCTTGATATAGAATCTTCCAAGTGCAAGAGATGAAATCTATCTAACAAGTTACTTTTTGTGCAACATTTATTAATTGGGTGTAGATTAAGTTCTGCTGATGCAAAAAGTATATTATATTGCTCTCGTATCTTTCGGATTCGCACAGCGGAGGCGTGGGTTCGGGTGACGTCACGATATGCTCCAGTTCAGACGTGTCGGTGCCCGTCTGTCAAATGTAGCGTAACGCTCTCTTACGTGAACTCTGCGCTCTGTTTTTTTGACACTTGCCCAGTTTCCGTACCATCTTGACTTTCTATTGATTCATCATTGGACTATTTTGTTTATATATTTACTTTCGCTATTGTTATTTTTATTTACTGTATAAATTTTAACTAAATTATTTGCTTTTGCCTTGAAAATAAATTATCGACATATATGTAATGTTAAAATAACATTACGAATTGAATTTTTTTTTGCAATAATATTTGAATAATATGGAACATTTGAATATACTACAAATAAAAGAAAAAGTTAATACAATAAGACAAGAATAATATATATAAATATAGAATAAGTTTGGATAATCTCAGATAAATACCGATTATTTTTTACAATATTGCTATTTATAGTAGTTTTGCATTTACAAAACCAAGTAAAGATGTACTTTAAGTTTATAATTATGGTCTGAGCTGCACTAGGCGTATCGCCGAATTCTTTAAGACATATGAGGAATTCGGAATGCAATAACACTTATTCCCCAAAAAGTGTGTTGATAATCAAAATAAAATTAAAGTCCGACAATTAAACACACCGTAATAACTCAACAGTTAATTTTTTTGCTTACTTAACAATTTTGGCACGAGTTATTTGTTAATTTATTCTTGATATCTCTTCTCAAATAATTTCTTTGAAGCATGTGACCTTACGGTAAATTTTCTTCTTTAAAATGTCTTTTTTTATAGTTTATTTTTTAAAACTATTTTTTACATTGTTTTTGGGAAATTCAATCAATAAAAACAAGTAGCAAGCTGTAGATGTCAGATACGTCTAATACCTGTCTATCTATCTGTTACGCGACTGCCTGAGATTGTAGAAAAAATATATTCAAAGTAAATTTATGTGAGAATTTAATACAGTACACGTATTAAAGGTTAAAAATTTAAACATTGTTGAATTATAATTTTAGCAGGTGTTACATCAATAGTAATTTTTTTTACGAAATGAAAAAGTATTACGATAGTAGTTGAAACGATTTCAATGTATCCTTAAATGCATCTGACCGTTTATGAAGGGTGCATAAATAAGATCGAGCAAAGTGTGTATTTAGTGGGTACGTTTTGCTACAGTGACCACGCTAGACTATTTACACTGCACCTAAAATGGATTCCTAATGGCTACTTGTTCGTACGATACACCTGCCATAGCATATTTGTTAGCAGTAAAATTTATCGGTGTCTTTAGCCATAATGATATGTTATGCATTGTGCGGCGTCCGTTTACGACTCGCAGATTTAAACTCTATTATTTGAAGCCGGTAGAACATTGGAACTAAAATATTATCAGCGACTAAGATCTCGCGCTAATTGTGAGAGCTAAAATTAACGTATCGTCATATCATGCAAGATCAGAAGTTGGTAAATCGGACAGATACCCTCACCTCCGTAGCGAGTTCCATGCACTTATAAAACACAAGACACTCACTGTAACCAGGCCTGTAGACCGCGCGGATCCTCTTAACCAAATTGCCAGTCCGTCTGAGAGGCGGTCCGAGAGCCACGGCGGCGTGGCCCTTCCTCTCCGCGAAAACGATATAGTTCTTATGATTTTGCAGAGGCACTTCGAACCGTCCGGAGCACTGTAGGTTCTCTTGGGGTAGCTTGAGTCTGATGACGTCTCTTTCGGCAGGCCAGCGGCCTTGGTGTCGGAAGACTCTCTGGACCTTGACTGTGGCGGCTCCTTTGGCCACAGACTGGACGCGGGCCTCGAAGGCAGCGGGGGCTCTGTAGGCGCGCCAAGCAACGTCCGCCCGCTCGCAATAGAGGCGGCGCGGCGCAGCCAGGCTGCCAGCTAGGCACAGTAGGGCCCAGCAAAACGCCGCGCGCCAGCAAGTATTCATAGCGCCATCGCAGCGCTCGTCACTCGAGCTCCCGTACGACCCTCGCACGTCGACAGCCGGCGCGCGACTGCTCAACGCCCCTACAAATAGGCACGCGCCGATTTGTAGATGTTCATTTGCGATTGTAATTAGCGGTCGGGCCCTTATCCGTTATTCATAATTGATAGTTGATACGTCTTCGGGATCATATTGTGTATTGGTTATTAAATTTTTATTAATATTATATATATATATATATATATATATATATATATATATATATATATGTTATTTAATATAATAATAAATAAATATATTTATGTAAATTTAATTTTTTTTATACATTACATAGTTTAAATACGATTTATTTTATAGCTTAAAGAAATAAGTATATATACTTATATTAATGAAACGTCTAAAATATTATTATGGAGTTTTATTTATTTTCTAATAATTGTTATATTAAATATTAAATTAGTTAAAAAAAACCTTAAATATTAAGTTTGTATTTCTAATTTATTTGTATGAAAATTTTATTGTTACGATAATCTTGAATTTAGAATACGATTAATATCTTCAAATATAACTCGACACGTTCCTACGTCGATAGAGGTGCGGAACTATTCAAACAAACGTAATGAACGTGGGAACAATGACGTTTCTATATATTGTATGCCAAGATAAATGTTTTTAAAGTTTTATTGCAGTGTGTTTGTATATTTTTATTATATTTTTGTTGTATTATAATTTTTCTGAGTGCTATTGTAATTTATATTGTGGATAGCAAAAATATGATATTCATTTCCCAAACGTATAAAAGGTTAATGACTTACGATAAATACCTATAATTATTCAAAATTTGCTGATTGTGAATATAATTGTTTAATAAAATTGGTTTTAATATTGAAACTCTCCATTAATTCAATTAAATGAATTAATTAATATAAAAATATAACTTACAGATATAATATTATAGAATACGTAATAACATAAACATATTATGTCATAAAATTATCTTCTAATCTTGTATTTTGTACAATACCCAAAGAGAAGTTTAAATATGTATCTATAATAAATTATAACATGCTACAGCTATTACTTTAAATATGACAATTTGAATATTATTTAAAAAGCACGGAGATATTCCGAATATTCTAAAAATATCTTAAAATGGCTACCACCTGTTGTTGTATTAGCGATATTTCAAAGAATTGGTCTATTTCAAAAATTGTATTGATAGACTTTGATCATTCACAAGCAAGAATAATCTAGATTTAAATTCAAATGAAGACTTTATTTAATCTAGCATTGTTCATATAATTTTAAAATTTAAATTTATCAATATACAAAAACATCTAACTTAAGAAGAATTAACTCGAGATTATTTTTGTATATCATAAGTAATTATTCAAGTACGTTTCCAAATGAGCAAAATGTGTAAAATTTATTATTTTTGATATTTTAAAGAAATACCTATTTTTTACATAAATATAGCTTAATCTATAATATTATTTATATATAATATTTTCGAAATATTTGCCTTTTATGATTCAGTGTGATTCGAATATGAGTCCAATGGTAGAGAAATGATGAAGTCAATAGCTCGATTTCGTTGTAAGCTCAATTTTCTTAGTTACGATATAAATGATTATTTTCAACAATTTGAATGTATCGATGGTATGACTACGTAGCGGAGGTTTTCATGCAAGTACTTTCGCGCGTAGCCGTCTACGGTATGTAGCTCGTAGACTCTTACGTAGCCTTTTAATTTTCGGTTTAAAATGTTTAAAAATCATAATTGATTAACTGAGCTCTACGAGGTTTTTTTTCGTGGCTTTTTGAATATGTCTTTTTTTTGGAAAACCATGGAAAATAATGGGAAGCAGTGTTATATATTCTGAGTCTCATGTTTCTGAGATATGTAATTTTTAAGAGTTTTAATTAATTACAAGTAATAAGGTGGAGTAAAACGTCATGAAAAAAAATTGGCATATTTGTGTAATTGTATTTATCTAATTTTCGTATTTCAAACATGTGTAAAGCCTGCCAACCAGCACTTGGCATTGTCTCCTCATGCATGTATTAAGGGACGCCAGTGCTAATAAGTGCGGTTTTATAAGGGAAATAGTATTATAAATATTATTTATTTCATTTGTAAGCGTTTTAAAGGGGTAAAGGTTAAAGCAAAATAAAATAAAATTTTGTGCACCCAAATGAATCAATATCTACTTTTACCACATCATACAAATATGTATTTTTTAAAATTAATTTATTTAAATATTAATTTCTATAAACTTAGAAACCATCCCAAGTTGAAATATAAATGAGATATGTAACAATAAACATATTACTATTCGGGTCTTAGCTGGACCTTTAAGATGATATTGTTCCCAAAATCAACAGGTAGGTATATTGCAAGTGTTTCCCACAGTACTGTAGAAAGGGTCGAAATTGGTTGTAATTCATAGGATCTGTAGAATAATATATTAGAGCAATTATTTATATAATTTGTAAAGTTTTATCGCGTATCTACTTATTGTTTTTTTTAACTATTTTTATTATTATAATATTTTACTGTTTACATTCACCACTATTTATTTTTGACATTTCTATAGGTATACATTTTTGCTAAATGATTTTGCAGAAAAATATAAATATATAGCAAATTAGACAACAATAAATCTTGATACATAATTTAAAAAAAAAATTAAAACATTTAAAGAACTCGTGCGGATCTCTAATGAGCCAACCTAACGGTCAAGCCAATTTACCTCACATCCGGATGACAAACAAAAAAATAAACAAAAACGTAAACGGAAACGCTGCCTACACCCTTACCTACGATACTTACCTCAGGTAGCCATCATTCATACTTTACTATGAATGAACGTTTTTTTTAGTCATAATAGTCAATTTTCAATAAAAATACATTCCATTTCCAACTCTATCTTAATTAGCGTAAGGACTTAATTTACTTTAATGTTTTTTGGTGAAAGTGACAAATCTGTTTGGAGAGGTGTACAATAGTTGCTAAGTTTGGTCACACAGCAGTATACGATGTAAATACGATCTTTATAAATGTTTTATGAATGAATTATACAAAAGATACCTGTTAGAATTTTATTTAATTTTTAAATAATGTAATATACATATTTTTTTACTTTAAACATTTTTATAATTTTAATTAGTTTTATAATTGAATATGGAATATTATTTGTTTAATTTTTGCTGTTATTCTTATAATTATTACAATTTTGAAAATATTAATTAGTAATCTATATTTAGTGTTGCCATTATTATATTTATAACCATAAAGCAAAATATAAAATATAGTATTAATTATTTAAGCCATATAATAGTTCTATGTGTAATTTAAAAAGTTAAAATTAATTGAGAATAATAATTTTATTTAGTTTGCTATTATTTAAAAAGACAATTTACTAAGCAACACTACTACTATATACTTTTACAAATAAAAAATGTAAAGCATTCGAAACGTCGGGAACCAAAAATCTAAATAAATCCGCAAAACAATCCGAAAACATAGTTTTATTTAAAAAGTACACTTATTTTCAAAAATTCTTTTTTTCTTTTACATTTTATAATATATGCAAAAATATACAAAAAAAAACAACATTCGAATTGATACCTTCTTTTTTCAAGTCGGCAAAATAACTGAGTTCTACCTGTCATTTCTAATGCCTCATAATCGCAAAAGATTCTAACAATGGCTTGGGTAAATACTTTGTTGGTAACACGTGAAACTAATTAGAGGTGAGAAAGTTGGTTTTAAAAAATATTTACCGATCGGTGCAACAGATGTCCATCGGCTTAATGAGGTTGTAAGCATTGTACTAATAAAATATATTTTTCAAAGGTGAATCCAACAGGTGTTTTGGCTTAAGCTTTAAAAACTTATCTATTGAAATAGATCTAGTATAGCTTTTTATAGCTTCATTTTGTTTTACTCCGATATGTGGATAATTTTAGGTTCGTTTCAATTACTGTGTTGTTCTTCTTTGTCGGTATCCGTTGTATAATATAAGTAATATTATTTAGAGAGTATTACTTTGGAATTTATTATACGCAAGCTATATATTTAAAGAATTTATCACTGTTGTGAAGTAGTGTAACTGTTATATTATGCTTTATTATAAACGTTAAGTTATACTTTCGTCTGTATGTGTATGATTAAAAAAATTACCTATATCAATGGTTAAATTCTGTAAAATCGATTCAGCCGTTTTCCAGATATTTGAATACGAGCACACAGACCAAGAGACAGACAAATTAAGTGATATTAATTTTGCAAGTACATAATTATATGAGCTCTTTGTGTATAGTTACTTTAAAATTACAAATTGATATTTCATTTTTTTTATTGACTTCAAAAAATGGACTATTAGAAATGCGAAAGTTTGTATGTGTGTTTGTTTGTTACTCTTTACTCTCAAACGGCTATTATTAGGCTTTGGATGAAATTTAATTACTGGGCTTAGGACCTGAAGTATCACATAGGTACACTGTACTGTTAAGCAAGGGTAATTCGCTAGTAAATAATATTTAGTAAGTACGTTTAATTTAAATTTCATTCAAATGGAACTTTAAATATTTATATTACATAATAAGTAATTTTAAACATAAACCAGAGCGAGTCGCTAGTATGCTCTATATCTTCATTAGAAATTATACTTCCTCAAAGTGAGGATATAAAAAGATCAAAACAACAGTTTTCTCTAAACTCAAAATTCCCGACGTAATGTCTTCATTGCATATCTGCACATAATTATGTGATGTGTAATGACTATGTATGCGGCCGGCGGCGTAGTGCACTCGGATTGGATGATGCTCTACCTAAGTATTTAATAATATATACTAATATTATAAAGGTGAAGTTTGTGAGATAGTTGGGTGTAATCTCTAAATATACTGAACTCTTTTAGATGAAATTTGGTAAGAATATAGTTTTAGACTCTGGGAAGGACATAGGATACTTTTTATCCCAGAAATCATTTCTTTAGGGTGTGAAGATGGGGATGAAAGTTTGTATGTGGAATCAACCTAGGATTGAACCTGAGCGAAGGGAACGTGAGTTGCTAGTAAATAATAAATAATAGGGGTTGAAGTATGAAATTGCTGTTTTATTGTAATAGATACTTCGAATTGACATAGAATCTTCATGGTTTGAGATGTTTGAGTGAAACTGTTTTCACATTGTACTTATGTAGTTCTTCTTTTAAAAAATGTACAACATTCGTTTATCGGCTTTCAGTTGTTTTTTTTATTCAGCTTAGACAAGAAAGAGGGATACTTCGAAAATTCAATATATTTATCAAAATATTTATTGATCAAGTACCGAGATGTCTATTATAATTAAATTACGTAAATATTTCTTCTATTTTTTTTGTTGGTTTACAATAAAATAGATTAATTATAATAAAAAAAAATAAGATTTTTTATTATTACATATTTGTTATTATCATGGCATTTATATCAATTAGGGACTATTATAGAAGCCTTTGTTTTAGAATTTAAATAAACTCCGTTTACACACCTCCAGACCTTCCACACTTATGATGATAATGAGGAAGATAATGTAATATCTGCATTGTTTTATTTATTAAATATAGAGTACATTAGACATATAATATACAAATATTAATAATAAAATAAAGACCGAAAATATCCTTTGAGTATATTTTTAGGGATATTTTCGGTGTTAAATCTCAAAGATCTTGCTTTTAGCGCGAAAATATTACAATACAAAAGTTAAATGTAAACGCGCGTAGTCTCGTGTTAAAAATTCTCAGTATATCCCAGTATTGGGAAGTAGGTAGAGTTATATCGCCCTGGAGAGATTGTAAAACCATATTTCCTGTGCCTGACCTCTCCCACAAAAGAACATAAAATGCAATTATTATTATGTTGTAAGTAGAGCATATTGTCGTCGGTGGTCACTGGCCACCCTCGTCGGCCGATTTCTCGTTAAGCGTGTAATTGTCAAAATTGTCATAATTCCACTCGGCGTACGACATTAATATTTATCTCTTTCATAATGATTATTATTGATTTGTGTCCGCGTGTCTTTTTAAAAAGTTCTCTATTCGTCGCGTTTGTATACTTATTTATTAACAACAACAATAATTTTTTTTTATATATTAAAGTTTCTGATTTAACTTTATGTGTTCAGCCCTTTTTAACAACCCACTGCTGGGCACAAATCTCACTTCAACTCGAGGGAGTTCAGGACATAGTCCAACACGCTAGCTAAGTGTGTGTTGGCGAACTGCACATGTCTTTCGAAAACTTGTTATGTTCTCTCAAACATGTAGGTTTCCTCACGATGTTTTCCTTGACCGTAAAACAAGTGATAAATCACGTTGGAAATGATTCGCACATGAAAATATCAGAGGTGCGAGACCCGGGATTTGAATCCGCTTCACTCGGTTTCCCTAGCAGGTGCGTTACCACTGGGCTACCACTGCTTTTAATTTAAATTCATACAAAATATTATTAGCTATTTCATAAACTAAACAAATATTTTTTTTATTATTTCAACTAGCGACTCACCCTCGCTTCGCTCGGGTTCGTCCCTGGCTTGATTTCCCATACAAACTTCCATCCCCATTTTCACCCCTTTAAGGGATGAATTCCGGGATAAAAAGTATCTCATGTCCTTCCCAGGATCTCAAACTATCTTCTTACCAAATTTCACCTAATTCGGTTTAGTAGATCCAGAGATTACCCTCATACAACGTCACAAACTCACAATCTCACTTACTTTACCTCATGAACGAATTAACCACTAATTCGTTCATGCTTTACCTCTTTATAATATTAGTATAGATAAATAATATAGTAAAGAAATATATGTATAGATGTAATTACAGTACGCTACTACAGTATACACAGTTGCAAAATGTATAGTAATGAACATAATTCTTAGTAGTAGATAAAGAAAAAAGCTCCGGACGTCAGAAGATTTGGAAAAAAACTCACGTAGATACAACGTTTTTTGTAACTTTTATAAATAAATAAATAATAATAATAATCCAAATTAACATTTTTACGAGTATGTTTGTGCATAGATAAGAAAATTTAACTAATTAAAACAAGAAATACTGGTGACTCATATATATCTAATATATAGAAAAAACTCTTAAAATAGTAAACTAAAATGGATTATAAAGAAATTTTTGTCTTAATACACCTACCTACGTCTGGCTGCGCGTAGATCGTGTGTGTTTAATCTCTCTCGCGCCTGCAAGTAAATATAACTCGGTCGGTACTACCGCTACTATAGGAAATTAACTGCTTAAGAATACGTAAAATTGGAACTGTGGGCTACAAATACGTAAATAAAATATCAATTCTAATATATCAGTTACCACACCTACTCTATTTCACTAATTTGTTTGTTTGTTTGTAGAGGATAATTAATCTTAAAAATTATTCTCTAAAGTACTGCGTCGTTTCCAAAAGTTCTTTTATTAATACAAAAATGTATTATGCCTGACTAGCTATATTATTGATATATAATACACTAGACACACTTGCTCCGTTCGGGTTTCCCCCCTAGTTACGTTTTAACGTTTAGTATAGATTTCTCAGAGATAAGATATTTTTCCGCAGTGAAAAGTATCCTATATGCTACTCCGGATAACCATCTATCATCATACCAAATTTCATCAAAATCTGTCTAGTGGTTTTCTCGTGATGCGTTCACAGACAGACAGACAAAAATTCTAAAAACTATAGATTCGGCCTCTGTATCGATAATAATAACTATTTGTCACAGAAATGTCACAGAAACAGAGCTTTATATACACATTTGTAGTAATGCGGTTTTAAATTTCGCAAAAATATTCCATATATTATAAGAGATTTAGTTTCGAATATATATCTATCATTGAATATTGGTAATAATTAGTAGTGGTAATGTACTATCAGAGCACCTTTACACCGTGACACTGACGCATTGCACATAACGCAACATATTCTAGTTAAACCAATTTAAATACAGACAATAATATTAACACGAGTATTATTATACAAATATTTCCTTCCAGCAGAGTAAGATTTAGAATCTGAGATTTTCTGAGAGTTTCAATATTACATATTATGTATATAAATAAAAGAAACCATGTTTGTTATAGCTATAAGCTAAACAAGGTGGATTTACTTACAATTTGTACTTCAACCAAGCATTTGAATATTTCATCAATTCCATTAAATTCTTTTTAAAAATCTAAGCGGCTTCAATGTGTAAAAAAATATCCATCATAGCAATGAGAAATCTTTTCTTAATTTTTTATTTCTCAAACTTTATATTAAATATTTTTATAAGTTATAAGTAAAAAGTAGTAATATATTAAGTTCATCTGAAAGGTCTCCGTTTTCTTGTTTTTGCAGAGAAAATTAAAAAATATACATTTATGTATGTATGTAATGTTACGTGATTTTGTTCATATCTAGGTACTAATGTTTGTTCAATCGTCGAAAATCTACCATAATCATTATTGAAAGTAAAATATCCGTAAATAGAATTTATTTATCTACGAGTATATAAAAAAGTACATTATGTATATTTCATTTTATTTAAACTAGCCACTCACTCTTTCTACGCTCGGGTTCGTCACTAGTTTGTTTCCCAATACAAAATTTCATCCCCATTTTCACCCCCTTAAGGGCTGATTTATGGGATAAAAAGTATTCTATGTCTTTCCCAGCGTCTCAAACTATCTTCTTACCAAATTTCATCTAAATCGGTTCAGTAGATCCAGAGATTACCCCCTACAACGTCATAAACTCACAAACTTTACCTCTTTATAATATTAGTTTAGACTGAAG